CACAAGCGAATAGTGATAGTGATGACCAATTTGAATGGAAAATAAACATCACATTAGATTATTACTGCTAAATTTTACACTTATCTACATCCTATTTGCCATTTCTTTTCTTTCCTTCTTTTTATCAACGGAAATGATTGCATGGAAAATAATTGGTTCGAATCGGTCTATGGTCGGTAGTTCATTAGAAGCCTCATAATCATAGCAAACATCGTAAAAAAGATAATGATTAGATGCACAGACACACGCATACAACACGCCAGTTGCGCTACGTGCGGACGATATGCGTTGCCGATCATCGTTTGCCCATTTGCATGAATAAAATCCAAATACTTTATTATTATTGCCTTATCGATGCATAAAAATCACTAGTTTATAACACGATCCGATTAGAGTAAAGCGCGAAAAGGAAGAAACCGCTGGCAGTCAATCACTCTGTCTTTTTGTCTTTCTTCTAACTTGCCGTCGTGAACTTATTTGCATCCCACCGATCGCATGGATTCAATGCACTCAATTGCAAACAATTTATTGATTTGCAACATAAACTGTAATTTCTTGAAGCACTTTTGAAAAGGCGGCAGCCATATGTATATATATGCAATTTATCGCGACTTTTATTGATGTTATTACATGATGTTAGTGAAAGGATTTATTTTTTCGAAAAATTTATGAGATTCCTATCGATTTTTGCGAGAGGCAGTTATTATTGGTTCCGTACATCTTTATCGTTAATCCGTTGAATTATTTTCGAATTCCAGCAGAGAGAAATTGTATTTGATGGCTGGCGATAAAAATTGTCTTGAACCTATTGGTCCCATTTCGATGACAAAATACCGTGCTTTCTCCATTAACTGCAACTAATTTCATCTCTGGATTCAATGTAAACCGACAGCAGAATATGTTGCAAGAAAATCAGATCACGCTGAAAATATTTTCCCATCAAATAATCTATTCACGAAATACTCGTTTGCAACTGGGAATTTTTTCAATGAGACTGCGGTTCACTGAAATGTAACATGCATAAGAACACCTGTATTTAATTTTCAGTTTAATTGGGAAATATATTGATATTTTTGTGCAGCAGTATAAGTTCAATCGCAAAAAAAAACTAGCTGTTTGCCGATAAATAAACTGATTTTGTATTAACAGGAAAATCAGCGGCGCAAAAAATGTTTATTGTTGAATTTGTGTTGTTCTCGGATTTATTATTGTGGTAAACATGCATGCTGCAGCGTAAGAGCTAGTGCCAGTGTGAACAACAAATTCAATTTTGTCCCAACATGCATAAATAAACGCATGTTTACTAAATGAGTGGAAGTGATTTCCTTTGCTTGGTTATAAATTCAACTTTTTCCTTATAAGCGCAGTAGACGTGAACACAATTCCTTCAAACCAAAAAAATAAATCCAAATTGAGACACAGATTGTTTACATAAACCGCATAGATTTGTTATGATTGGCGTTTCGTGCATGCATTTCCCGCTTGTGTGTTAAAAAAAATATCGATTTCACTGATTTTCATGTGATTCGTTTTGGATTTGGTCTATTTATTGTGTGTCGGTGGAATCGATCCGCAAAATCCGTTGATAAGAACAAATAGAAAGTCGCTATAAGGTTTTTGAACTCCGATCGTAATATGAATCATGAAATGGAAAGCAAGCTATTATGAATTGCGGTGATTGCGGTCTACTTATTGCGCGATAAAACCGAAACTGATAAGCGATTTGCTTAAATGATAAGTTTTTGTATTCTTTTTTGTCATCCCGATAAACGGTAGTCGTATGTACAGTGTTCCACGAACGAACAGGAAAAAAAACAATGAGTCATTCCGTGTTCGTTGTTGCCGGTCAGTTAGACGGTCACATTAAATAATTAAGCATAATTACACTACTAGTTCGTATCTCGCTTTTTGTTTTATTTAAAATAGTATTTCCATAGAAAAATGACAGTGTGTTTGTTTGACTATTGTTACGCTTCAATGACTTCAGAAAAAAACTACGTTTTCCCTTTTCTTTCGGGTGACCCGAATCGCAAGTAAAATAAATGGTATTTCATTGAACATATGCCGATTACATGACGAATGAATGTGACGCTCCAGCCATTTTTTATTTGTTGTTTGAATGCGTATTTAGATCGTCAATTCCATACAGCACACGCAGGTGAAGGTGTGCGATATCAAAGGGAAAGCACTCTTCTATATTCACTTCGGATCCATAGACATGGTCATTTACCCCATTCTTAACATGTGTTCATTAATTTTAGTCAGTCTCGCTGCTGAATGGCTCTTGGTGACACTTTTTATGTAAAACATCAACTGTGACTTAACTCAATCCCAATCCCAATTCCAATCCAAATCGACTCGATCGTTTCTGAATGTTTTTGTGTTCCAAGTCAATGTTGTTAAACAATAAATAAATGTCCGGTATGGGAAAAGAACGATTTCATTTGAATGATGCGAGAAATCGGAATGTGTTGTTTCGAATCAATTGAATAGTTGAATAGATAAACACTACGGCATTGAACAGCTTGAAAAATATACAAGATATGGTAAGCTGATTGACTTGGCAAGAAACTAACGAGGTTCTCTTTGGTTTTCTTGTTTACAAATTGAAGAGAAAGAGAGAGAGAGACAGGAAAAATGCTAAGTGGAACGCTGGCGAAATAGCAACAAAAAGAGCAGCAGCAAGAACTAGCAGCATCACCATGGATTGGAAACTAACCAGAAAAGAAAACGCTACCGTTTTTCATTAATGTATGCGCATTTTGTTGCAGTTGACACGAATGGATCGAAATCTTTCTCTATATATCGTATTCCAATGAATGGTTATTGACGATGCAAATAAGGCCTCTCTGCCCAACGTACGCACACATACACACAGACATGCACAGCAGAATATTGTAGGCTGGGCAGACAAAACCACATATTCATGTTGGCGAGAGATTTGAGAAAAAATAAAGCGCTCGAGAATGTCAAACAATCCGAGATGCAACGCCATTTGTTTGCTACAAATGCAATCATCGAATGAAAATAATATAAATTCGATGCTTTTGCGCAATGTACAACCAAATGATGACAGCGGCAACAACAACCACGACAAACATCCCGAACGGTCTGGAAATATTAAATTATCAGATCGTATAACAGCCATGTGACTAAAATTGGAAAAAATGGAAACAGAATTTGTGCCGTCGCCACAAATCGATCCAAAAAACGTGCATTCCAAATAAATAAACGATCATTGATCATTGCCATCAAATTTTCGTATGCAAATGTTTACCATTTAAGTGAATATTTTCGCAATGACGCACAAAATCAAATGAACAGTGCTGTTTTCATGTTTCGTCTCTCTTCTTCTGCATGTAACGGTATATACCGGATTCGATCAACTGCGCTTATTTTTTCTCTTATTGATTTAGAATATCAGAATCTCGGTTCTCTTTATGGATTAAATTCCGTTTAATATTCGTGAAGTATTTCTTAATGGTTCTTCATTTCACAACATTATCAGGGCTTTAATGATGAGCAATATCTACCGGATTTATAGGTTTACAGTGTCGTCAGAATCTCCAGACAGAATTCGTTTGACGACTATAAAAAAAACGTTGTTATCAAAGTATTTTTTGTCGTTGAAATATTTCGTTAACTATTTGGCTTTGGTTTTAGGTTATTTTTCTGTATGTTAGAAGTGGAATATGTCGATTCATATGTTACATAAATGTATTCGAACGAACATTATTGGAAGTAAAAAAATGAACCTGAAGACGTGACATCTGTAGAAGAATACACATTTTGTATACTTAGGACTTTGAACCGTACCACACGTTCAGTATTTTGCTTTATTCTGCTTCTCAGCAGAATAAGTACTTTGAATTTTGTTTTGTTTGATGTTCTTTTTCCTTCATTTTCTTTTATCGATTGTTTGGCTAAAAATCCACACAGAAAACGGCAAAAAATGCTCTGCAATAAAGGTATTTTTAGATATGTTATCTTCGCACGGTAGTGCGAATGGTAGAACGGATGAACGAAGAAAGAAAGAACAATAAAATTCCAAATATGCATCGAAGATACGGTACATCTTTCATTGCAGAATATTTCCAATGACCGTTGCCATGTTATTCAAATTTTTTCATGAATTTGAACGTCAAAAAACTCATAAAAATATATTCACATTAACATTCAAGATTATCTATGGACACTTACTTGCTTGAATTGCGTGATTCGTTGCTCAATCCAACGTTGATTGAAGTTGAAGTCATGTTGATATCTTTTTATTGGTTAGATTCTTGTGGATTGACAATAAAAATTTCACAATTACTCAATGGAGAATCACACGATAGTCTCTGCAAATCGTAACAAAATCACACTGATTTAATTCAAAAGTAAAAGTAAAAGCAAATGTGATTGCTTTTATACAAACGAATGATTAAGAACAATAAAATCGGTTTTCGAATTGAAGTAAGTTGGTTTATGTTTTAAATACAAAATAGCAAACAAAGCACGCACGATAGCAACAGCAAAAAAAGGACACAAGTCACAACACACCGAACGAACAAATGTGTATGCAAGAAAAGAATTTAATGCTCGAATACAGATCCCCGTGCAACGAAACTGGATTTTGAATTAAACCGTTCAAACTATATTGATACAAGCAGTTGCACACACAAACATGATCAGCATAGTGTGACGTGCGGCGAAACGGTGAGTGCGGCGACGGTGGGGATAAAAACTTCTACAATAACTTGAATATGATTGAGCGGCGAAATGGATTTTATAGCACCATTTCCATTTCGAAGTAAATCGAGATACGAACCATTTTGAGACAGATTAGAATTCATCAGATGAAATAATTTAGATACCTTTATATAATTTCAATTTTATTGAAAATTTTAATTAACATTTCGTTGACAATGATGCCTTTGTTTTCATAGTTTTACTTGAATCGGGCAACACCGAACTTCAGTTTAAAAGGAGAAATGACAACACATGTAAATCGCCGAAATGTCACTCAAGTGAAAGATGTAAAGTCTCATTTACACTGAGCGTTCATTTGGTGTTTCATTACGTTTTCGGGAGATTTTACCCAAGAATAATGTAAATCAAACGATATCTCAATTGTAACACTAAAATTTCATCAGATGATCATTTTTTCGCAGAAGAATTCATTTCAAATTGAAAGAATTCCACCAATTTGGGAACCGCGTATTAATGCATCATCGAATGTGAATGATGCTTAATGCCCATTTTGTTTTTTATTTTTATTGTCAATCAGGTTTTTTCTCGTTCCCGATAGCATTGCCAACGCCATAGCACAACTTTTACAATTATTTAGTGTGTGTAAATTTTAAGTGCTTCTCGCTGTGTGTTTGCGAAATAATTCAGTGTTTGCGAGCCATAGCAAAATTTACCTATGATATGTGGTGCAAATTGAATAAAATTCGTGTGCCGATCCATAGTGGAAGTGAAAAAATTGAATAACTTATAGAGAAAGTAGTTTTCGGTAAGCGAATCAACACCATTACAACGACTTGACAAAATATGCTCAATCAAATGGCATCAACGAGTGTCGAGCCAAAAATGTATTCGGCCACTTACGTCGAAAACTATTTGGATTCCGTGGATAATTTACCGAACGACGTACAACGGTACTTAACCCGAATCCGCGAAATTGATTTGCAATGCCGAGGTAAGATATGCGTGAATTTTTTTTATTACTTAGCGTTAGTACTATAACGCGCTAAAAAATGGCTCATACCGTTTATTTTATTGTTGTAGCTCATTTACGTGACGTCGATTACTACTACGACCAGTGGTCCAACTGCTCAACCACTGAACTCGAATCTACAAATGCCCCATCGAAACGGGCCCGTGCAATGGCGCGCATTCAACAGAATTTGATTGCCGCTCAGGAATTGGGCGATGAAAAGCTACAAGTCGTTACACAATTACAAGAAATGATTGACCAAAAGACGCGTCAATTGGATGCCGATTTCAAAAATCTTGATTACGCTGACAAGGATGATCCAGCTTTGATGGATAATTCACCAAAGGATATGCATCCATCCAGTCCGTCGTCATCATTCGTACCTTCGTCCACCAACGCTCAAAGGAGCGACGAAGGCTCGGTGGCTGGTTCTTCAGGCACATCATCTTCGCTCAACAACGAACGAAACAGTGGAAATCATTCGAACTCTTGCAATGCCAATACATCTGGTTCACACATTGCCGATCGCAATTCGAAACGTTCACGCCGTGCGCGTGAAACCGCATCACGCAGCGGAAACAACAACAACACTTTCTCAAACATGTCAAAAACATCACAGATCGACTTGGCAAGCGATTCGAACAATTCTAATTCGAATCAATCAAACAAAAACGCAGGCGCTCCTGGCCAACCATTGAATACTGGCGGCTCTTCCAATTCAAATCGCAAACAAGGCGGAAACAATGGTGGCGGCAGCAACAACAACAAGAAACGTAAACGCAAGTCAGCTCGCTCGCAGAATGGCGGCAACGGTAAGTGCACAATCGGTGTTTGTCAATATTTACAAAGTATTAAATCATTTTTGATATTCACAGGTGGAAACAATTCTAACAATTTGAGCAACACAAGTCAATCGAATGCACGCTTACACGATGAAACGCCGCCGCTCGAAGAAACCATCGATCCAGATGAACCGACCTACTGTTTGTGCGATCAAATTTCGTTCGGCGAAATGATTTTATGCGACAATGATTTGTGCCCTATTGAATGGTTCCACTTTTCTTGCGTATCACTGACGACAAAACCGAAAGGCAAATGGTTTTGTCCGAACTGTCGTGGCGATCGGCCGAGTGTGATGAAGCCGAAACAGCAATTTCTCAAAGAATTGGAACGGTATAACCGTGAGAAAGAAGAGAAAACGTAAAAAAACACTATCTTCGCAACCGCCTACGATTATGGCATCTACGAATTCGACTTAATTTTTAGCCAATTCCCACTTTCACTTTTTGGTTTTTGTTTTCATAATCACTTTAAATTCATCTAATTATGGTACAAACCCATTCTCATCTTTTTATAGTAACGCATTCGAATCGATTCAAACCAAACCAAATGCGAACTGGTTATTTTCAAATAATTTCGACTGAATGTCAAGGAATCATTTCATCGAAAAAATTCAATTTGTGTCAATACATTGTTTTGCTTTGTTCCTTCGAAACAGTCGAAAATCATTTTCATTGTGCATTTAGATCATTGACTTTAGTCGCCATACTTGAAATTCTATGTTCAACATGAATCAAAAGATTATTCTGAAAATTGAATAAAACAAAACAAAACAAAACTAAAATAAACGAATTTGTGTCCATTTTATTCACATTAGATGTAAGATCTTATCATGTATATTATCTCCAAATTTAAATAAATGGTTCGTTTTTATATATAGCATACTTACGAACGTTTTATTCACATAACATCAACTGGGGACGGTCAAGTGAATATGAGCCGACAGGAGCTATATGGGTCTCTTATTTCCTTTGCAACTACGGTTTAGCAACCCAATAAAGGGGGTCAAATAACAAGGTAAATTCAGTTCTTTGTCGATATATTTTATTTTTATTGTTTAAAGTCGGAAAATTGTTTGAAAAATCTGATAATGGATTTTTATTTCTAAGCATATTTAGATAAAGTAAATTATAATCTTTTCTTATCAATTATACCATTCTAAATAAAGTCTATTTTACTCAAAAATATACAAATCAATTCAATCCTAAATGGAATGTTCTAAATGCAATATCGAATGATAATAAAAAAAAAACTAAATAAAATGTGGGCAATAGGATATTATTAGAATTAAAATTGAACGCAACCAAAAAAGTATTTAGTTCAAAAAACAGTTTCGATGGGAGAATTTAAAATTTAAAATCGAGGATGGTTTCTTTTCCCGTGGATTATGAAACTAATCTAAAAATGGCCGTATGTGTTTTTGCAGTTCATTTCCTCGACTAGAATTTGATATTCTCCTTTTAACCACTCTCAAAGTTTTTTCAGTACGAAAAAAAATTCTGTCACTCCGTGCTCAATACATCAAACTAAAAATGTGCAGCAAGTCAATAAAAAGAACACATTTTTAATAGTTCCACTTCCGACTACAATAATAAATTCAAAATTATTTGAATTACGAATTGCTGTGGAAGAGTGCTTTCAAAGAGATACAAAACTCGAGCAAAATCTTAACTCATAATAAAAAAAAATCCCAATAATTGCTTACTTAAAAATAACTCCATTTTAAAACTAATTTCGGGGAAAATACTTGATTTCGTATGTAAAACTAACAAAATATTGCATGATACTTGTTTTCGATAGTCCAGGCAATTTTTACTGACATTCTCGAAATGAATGTTAATTCGTAGCTTTAGATTATGAAGTGGTTCCTGCCTCAGTTGATGCGAATATTAATTTCAATGTGTGTTGATTGCTGGCTATTGCTGTTTGTCATTCAGTGTGTGCAATTAGTAAATTCATCTGTTTCATAAAATACTGAAATAGAGGTGATTGCTGTCTATAAGTTCCTAAGAATTTGTTTTTTTGAGACAAAATATGCTAAATGCTTGAGGTTGTCTATTAATTCTAAGAATCTCATTGAATCTGGAATGACTGATTATTTATTAAATATATTTTTCTAATTACGTATTCTTTCATTTACTTCTCATTTTAGATAGGATTTTGTGTGTGTCATAAATAAGATTTTTTTTTGTTATGTTCAATATGGAGCTGCTCTTTGATTATGTTCAAATTCTAAAGATTTAAATTCCAAGTGGAAAAATAAATGCTTTTAATAAATTCAATTAAATTGGTTCTTTAAGATATGATGAAGTCAAGTGTTCATTGAAGATGTGTTGTTATTTATGTGTGTGTTTCGTGCGATATGTGTCTCGTGAGATGTCTGATTTTTGAAAGATATGTTGATTCGTATATTGTAATGTTTTCAATAAGATTTTTAAAATGATTGAATCTTCAAAAATCTGGTGATAGGCCTATGAAAAATGTCTGAAATTGAAGTACTGTGTAAATAAGTGAGCGAATTTTAAACCCAAACGCCATGTGGATTCTTGCTTGTTGGTACTGCCGTTTCTAATTGCCTTGGAGAACCCATAATGCGACGTGTGCTGCCTGGTCGATGCGATCCTAAATTGAATTAATTCAACAATAAAAATTAAAGGATTGTAAAATCATACTAATTGTGATAATTACCATATGAGCCTAACTAAACTATCACTAATAATTTTCACTTACCCTCAAGCAAATTCCGTATTTCCTCAGTTGAAGCAACGGTCAAACTTTGTAAATTCACCTCCTTCATTTCATTAATTAGTTTCTCGAGCTGTCGTTTCTTTTCAGCGATGGCGGTTTCGATAACCGTCACTTCGTTCTTGAGACTATCACTAATTTTGCTGGTGGATTCAGCACTTCGAACTGCCATATCGATCTCATTTTGGATGCGTTCAACCTCGTGTAAAAGATTAATTTCAAACTGTTGCCGTTGACCCTCGTACTTTAATGAAGTCTGTTCAATTTGGATGTCATCCATGAGCAAACGAATCTTGTTCTTGCATTGCAATAATTCCGTTTCGCAATTGGCCAACTTTGATCGAAGCAATGTGATTTCCGATTTCAATGTTTTCTCTTGTTGTCGAACCAGTTTATTTTCCTCTTCGACATACTGAAGCGTTTGCAACTGTTCGGTACTTTGCCGGAAGAGTTGATCGGTCTTGGTGATCTCACGCGTGATGGCATCTAATTGTTGTATTTGGTCTCGCTCTCTGCTCTCTAAGAAGGTAATTTCTGCATCAAACTGTTGCAAAAACGAATAGCAGCATTCAGATATTAAAACTTGTTCGCAAGGTTGCGTTCAAATAAGAAACTTACCTTGGAAATATCCGATTGTTGATGGCTTATTTTTTCTCGTTGCAAATGAATCAACTGAAGCAATTCTCTATACTGTGCATTTTGGAACTGATTGTCATTCAGAAGATCCTTATCACTCGTAGCACTATTCACAATTGCTTGCAGATTACTCAACGCATTGATATGTATATTTGGTGATGCTTGACGATTTGAACCGTAGCTCTGAGCATTCATTGTGGCTGTTGGTGATGGTGATAACTCTTTCATAAAATGTGTCTTATTGCTTGTGAAATCCATCAATTTGCTGCTGCTGTTTGTCGTATTACTGCTTTGACTGTCGGTTTTCTGATGGTGAATTAAAAGACTGCTGTACTGATGCAGCAAAGGTGAATTGGTTTTGGGCGATGGTGGATTTCTGTATGGCGGTGGAAGCAAAGCTCCATTCGATGAAATCGGTGGACCATTCTTATAAGACTCGGTTGTACTATCCAGATTACTGTTTTCGCTCATACTACTATTGGTACTGTTATTGTTTCGGTGAGAAATTTGTGTCCGAGCGTCATTTAAATTGACCATTTCACGGAATGCACTTGTTTTTCGATCTAACGAATTGCGCACATCAGCCGAATTGAATTGCAATATGGGTGACTTAGCAATATTTTGCAATGGCTTCGGCGTAGCATAGTCGATATCGGCAAAATCGCTGGTTGTTGTTATTGATGTTCCAGTTGTGGATGAACATGGCGAAAGGGGCGGCGAGATTTTGGTCAAATTTTGCATCGTTGCATGCGGTATTCCTGCAAGAGAAAAATGAAAGTATTTTAATACTCATTTGTATGTCCCCCAAAAAAACTCAGTTTTGTTTCTTTGCCACCTTTAACTATCCCAATTAAATCACTTCTGCGATGTTCGTTCGTTTTGATGTTTTCGGACGGCGCAGTTCTGGTGGAATTTTGCTCTTCCATCGGAGGAGTGGCAAGCTTTTCAATACTCATTGGCTGGTCGAATGTCGACTTCGCCTTCTTGGGTGACTCATTAACCGGAGGTGGAGATGAGGCTGGATTCTTAGCCGCCTGATCGGGAACTGCTTTTTTCGTCTGATCAGAACGTTGCAATATAAATTGCACATCACTCGAATATTCACCCCATTTCATCAATATCTGAAGTGAGAAAAGATGCCAACTCGCATAACTTTGGAATAATTAAAAAATTTAGTGAGCTATTTACCTTCAATGGGTTTTCGTTGGGTGCCAAAAGTCGCTCATTGTTTCTCCATCGTTCAATTAATGTGAACCTTCCAATTTTGCCCGTAGCATGAGCCAATGCAAACACAACATCCTGAATATAACATAAAATGTCAACAATATTTAAACCAAGGTCAAACACATTAACGGTTCATCCACAAATCATTCAGTTTCACTTTCCTTCCATTAACAATACAAGATAATTATCAGCATGGACAATGTGAATGGATTGTGAAAATTTATGTTTTTACTAATTTCATCATGCTTATAAATACATATTCATATTTCGCCATATTTACAGAATTTGCGTATTAATCGCTAAAGGCATAAAAATTGTTCAGATTGGGGGATTTTGTTTTGTTTTGAAATCGTCTTACAAAATACACAACTAGTTTGGATTTCTCATCTGATTTAAATTCATTCACGGTGATCGATTTAGACAAATCCAATAAGACATGTTTTCTGTCTAATTTTGGAAACTAATGCGCTTGGCGATTTGATTAACAATCTCAACTTGTCTTCCTCATAAAGTAATTCCAAATAAATATTAGAAAAGAAACTTACTTGACAGGTCGTCGTTTCGGTGACGCCGCAAACTATTCGCTGTATTCCCTCGACCCAGACTTTCAATTCCATCACAATTTTCGTTCAGATTGCCTCAAGAAATTATTTTTTTTAATCTTAACTGGCTGCTTCACGCTGCGTTGCAGCCCCGTCAACGTTGTTTTATCGAATTGTACTATGAAGATTTTTAGTGCCAATCATGAGAAATTAACAATTTCTTCGCCGGTATGGCGTCGATTTTCGTTCGACGATATGATTGTATGTGTCTATGTTTTTTTTTTCAAAAGCAGTCACATCTTTTTGATTCATTTGTGGTCGTTAGTGGCAAATATCATAAATTATGTGCTCAGCCTGATATCTGAAGTGCACTGAAACACGAAAAAAGGGAGAAAAGCGAATTAAAAAAATGCTCAGAAAAAAGGAAGAAACAAAAACACAAACACATCGTCACATTAGTCATAATACATCGTAATAATCGTGATCGATGCGAAAAATGTCGGCACACAAAAGAGAACATTCAATACAACGAAATGAATTTTCTCTCGCAACACATAAACAAACAAGAACACTTGCTTCTTCAAACTACACGTCTCGTTAAGTCGTCATTTTTAAAGACCGAACCAGTGCACAATTCACAACAAATCAACAACATTTTTCTTTCAGCAATCGGTTTACTCAAACGACACTGTTGGACTGAAGGAAATCGAAATCAGCAATCAGCCATCGTCATTCATTCATTTCTCTCTCACACACAAACGACATTCACTTCAAACAAAAACGTAAACTTGATGGTGAACATGAATACGATGAAGGCGACAGAAAAAAAACAATCTTCATTTTCTAACGCATGGAATGACAACAATTGTTTCGATTTGTGATACGGATTTAGGAAAGCTCAAAGCCAAATGCGGTTGATACACGCTCGATTGCCTTTTACAGCTACTGAATAAATCGAAACACATTCATGAGTTGGTTTGTTTTTGTTTCTGTTTTTAAATGAATTTAATCGGTCATATCTCTTCGCGAACGTTGATTACTGTGTGTGTGTGTGTGTGTGCCAATACTTTGCGGGCTTGTCACACATTGTTACAAACTGTATCGTTTCGTGAAATCAATTCATTACATGGAAGAAAAACAAATGAAAACAGAAAAAAAATTAAATGAAATAAAGGAACGACACAGACAATATCGCCCCAGAACAATGCACCACGGCATCCATACACTAATCAAGAATGGAAAGAATAAAAAAAGACAAACCAAAAAGTTGCGGAGAACGATAGAAATAAAGTCAAATTATTGATCGAAAATTTGATTTAAAATGAAAAGTCAAAGGCAAGCTAAATGGAACCTAATGAGTTTTATCGCTGGTCATGAATATGCATTTTGTGTATAGTTTGTCAGTGATCCGATGAAATTAAAATCCCGCAGAATGTGTGTCACGCAAAACTGTTGTAAAAAATCAATGAGCGAACGAAATGCTCGACATTCCATCGTCAGCACAATCACACAGCGTGGTACAATAGTCATTAATATATGAGCACACCCCATATATTCTAATACACCAACCAACTCGAATCAATCATACCGATCGAACACATTTACATCAATACAACATCATTCTGCTACTTTAATTGAGTAAGTTATTACGACACACAATAAAATACACTTCACTTATACATATATGGTTCGTCAAAAATGGATAGAAAACACCCTAAAAATAAGTGCGACACGAAATGCACTTGTCCAACTTGCATGCGCTGAAGAAGACTACTGCAGAGTACAGACATTAGAATTACAACTGTCTGGGGCTCAATCCACCAACTCGATTAATTGAAATTTCTCATAACATTGCACTTTAAGCCCAGCTACAGAGCAACACCGTCTATTGATTATTACCTACATAACAAATATACGTAAGAGTTCATTTGCCTGAATCAACCTGTTTATTTATTCATACACATCAATTTCAGACTTTTTTTATCGGAAATTTCTTCCATATTGCATTTTTATGGTAGTTTTTTGTTGTTGTTGTTGTTTTATTTATGATTATGCTCTCACGATATTCATTCGATGCCTGGTTAACACTCACACTCTCACTTGATGTATAACCATTCGGAAATATTTTTCCTATTACACACAGTAAACAGATAAAATCAAAACATTTGAGAATTCCATAGTACACAACATTTTTTTTTCTTCAATAAAACACCAAATTGACACCAAACTTTCTAAATTTCAATCAATCCAATCGTCTGCAGATTAATTCGATTTAATTGCACTGAACAAAGATGATTTTAATTGAAATGTATATGATTGAAGAATTTTCCTGTAATTACTTACAGCATTTCGTTGTGTATCGTTTGCTAAGGCAGGAGCAACACAATCGCCATTCTTTGTGGCACTTGACGTTTGTTATTCAATCGCTTGCATTGGAATTTCTATTTACCTGTACTGGACTAACGCAGGCGTTGGAAAGTTGGTTGCACTGTATCAACCGTCTCCACTTTTCGAATGTGTGTGCTTTCAGAAGAATTCATTGACTTTGGCCACTTCCATTCCAGTTTCAGTGGAGTAACGCCATTGGAAAGTGGTTTTTGTAACGGTTCGAAATAAAACACAGAATGAGTTTCGGATACATATTTAGTGATTTATTTATTTGTATTCATTTCCTATACGAAATTTTACCTACATATTTTTCATAGTTTGATTGGTATTTTATGTACTCTTGATGACCAAGTATGTCATCGAACGTTTCTCTAAGACATGGTTAGTATTAGACATAATTCTCAACTCTTATCTGAAGACACGACAAATTGATTTTACTTTTTGTTTGTTATAAAAATTTTGATAATGTTTTTTGACTAATTCCACAGCGAGAATGATTTTGAGATAGCTACTATTTGGGACGTTTGTATTGCATTTTTCGGGCTCTGTCAAAAATGTTCTTGAACTTAATGGAAAAAAAGAATCAAATACGAGTGATTTTCAATATCGTTTGTTGATGTCATCGTTTTCTTACTTACCTAATGTTATTTACGTATATATTTTATATGGTTCATTTCGAACGTTTGATTATTCGGGCATTTTTTACGATATATATGTAATGTGTATGCCTGGCCTCAGTATGTACACATTTTTTTAATTCGTTGAATATTGAAAATTATCTAACTTTGCATTTCATAAATTCCCAACAAAAGAAGATTATCTTTTTGTAACAAAAATAAATTTATAACGAAGTCAACAAATTCATTCGATCTCTTCTAAATCGTGTGTGATTCGATTATTTAAACAAATATATTTGTATGTAGTTTGACACAATGGTTGTGAAATGTCATTTTGATGGAAGGTCAATTCCAACTTTATACCTATAGGTGAGATTGAGAGTAGTGTATGTTTCACTGACTTCGTTATGAAAGAGAAGAGTAAGTTTCTTTCGACTTGAAAATTGTTAAAGGCGAGTATGTTCATTTTTGGCGGGTCATCACGGTTTTTTGCGGTTTTCGTGGAACTGATAAAAGATAACAACTTAATCTCTTCGGCAAAGTTGTAGTACTCGAGGTCTTCTATAACTAAGACGATTATCTCTTATCTCTTATCATTTTCGCGATTTGCGCAAAACTGATAAGAGATAACTGGCTTCAGCTAAGTTATAGAGGACCTCGAGTACTACAATTCTGCCGAAGACACCATGTTGTTATCTCTTATCAGTTGCGCGGAAACCGTGAAAATCGCGGAGGCTAGACAGTAAGCCAACATACTCTACTTTAACGCCAACAGAATCATCAGAAAACATACTCACCTTTTCAAAAATATAAATCGAAGAAAAAACATATCGTAAACCATCCAAATTGTATTATAGTCCAAATTGTAAAAATTGAATAAATAGACTAATTTTCTGCAAAACTTTGAAGGGTAACTGTTGTTTTTTATATCATATTTGAGAAGATCACGAAAATAACTTCCGATATGAATATATGACTTATTTGTATTTTTTCAGAAAAGTTGTTTATTTTAAGACTATTTTACAATTAGAACTATGTTACAATTTGGATGGTTTACGATACTCCACTCTCAATCTCAACCATAGATATGTGTCGTTGAGAATAAAAATGGGATAAGCCGAAACCACATGTTTTTATGGTAATTCATTTATTCATTTATTAACACCGCCAAAAAACTGGCTGAATATTTAGTTTTGCATGAAAAACCTTATCTTTTGATTTTTATACAATTTAGGGTATAAAAACGAAGCATTTTTGTGTTTCTGGTACGAGATATGAGGCAAGTACTCAAGCAAAGATGAAGATCTTGAAATGTTCTAAAACATTGCAGAAGACATATGTCTTCTATCTCTTACTAGGAACATAAAAATGATTCAAATGTAAACGAGCGGTTTCTGCTATCCCATTTGTATTCTCAACAACACATATATGGGTGTGTTTAATCGCAAAAAACAGAGGTTTGCGGTATTTAATTGATACATAACGAAATTGGATTTTGTCGATTCTGTCGGTTTCTTTTTTATTTGATTACCATTTACAGAATTGGTGCCGATCGATCGTTGGTTTTCGTACTTCTTAACGTAACGCTGGCGAATTGAGACGCACTGCACTTGCCCGGCCAAATGTCCATATCCACAAGTGAAATTCAGAAAGCACGGTCAAAATGAGAAAAAGAGAAATAAAATTGGTTTCCAAGTTAGTTCTATCTATTACACCACTACCAAGGTTAAATACGGAGGGAAATATAAAAGCACAATACAAGGTTTGGGTTAACCCTTAGCCAAAACGAACACTAGTATTAAAAGACAAATGTTAAGATTAGGGTCGTTAGAAACGGGTTTAATTGGGTTTCCTGAAATTGGTTATCAAGGTTCAATTAGAAGAATAAAAAAAAACAATTGATAGGGTTAAATTGCAAAACAAACAAAAATGCACTTTTTGTGTAATAATTTTTATTAAATGTTTCAAAATCAAAATCAAAATCAAAATGAACTAACAAGGGAAATCAAGGAAAATAAAATGTCTTTACAAAGAAGCGATAACCATTATTCGATCCACTTGCGGCTATATTTTTGTGCAATTTCTTCTTCCAGTTTAAGTTCATTAGCTTTGATTTCCGTTCGTTCGTTCAATTTGGCATTTATGATGATTTTTGTCGAGCGCGTCGCTCTTATTCAATGTACAGAAAGAAGTTTCTTTTTTGCTGTCTCGCCGAATGACTAAAATTAAATTACGAATACATGCGGCCGACTTCAAAAGGATCCGAATGTTTCAGCGGCTATTTTTGTAAGGTTTCTATTTACTATTGCATAGAATACGTATGCTAATTAAATAAAAAAGTATTCCCGGCGTTTGACGAAGTGCTGTTACAATTACTGCATGAGCATTATTTTAATCGTTACATTTTTCGCTCGCTCGCGCTCGCGCGTCCGAATCAATACATGGAACCATTTACTGTTCATCTTTTTATTCGAAAATGAATGAAGAGGCGTATGACGAGTGGAGGTAAAATTAGACAATCGGCACACCCCAAAATTAATATTATATAGAAAATCGCCTTATGAATTAAGCTGCATTCTTCGGGTTTCAGTGGAAAGTTACGGTTTCTCTGTCTGTCGGTTGTTCAGCACATTCTATATTCGGTATATCAACGGCTCATGTAAACACTTCGTATTATTTACATTTGTTGCGTCGCTTTTTTCAAGTGAAAGTTTAATTTGAATAAGCTATTTTCAGCCAGGTGAGCTCTCAGTTTTGATTCGAATAATCGTTGTCGTTATATTAACATATATGAAACAATATGTATTCCCTTTGCCCCATGTTGCTAAAGTACATATTTAATAAATCCAAGGAATCATTTTTCCACACATATCTCATTCAACGGAAAAATTATCTAAATTAACATCTATCATAATAATTATTAGAATTGAATTGAATAGAATAGAACGTGGAAATTGGCGAACAGAAAAACGTACGTATTCTAATGTTGAGTGGAAATCAACAAAGCGCAAAAGCTCATGGGATTAAAGACATTGTCTCTGTCTGGCGAATAAACTGTGTAATCGGAGTGAGTCATCTACGTTATTCTACGGTGCTATTCGGAAATTTAAAGCATAAATTCACCAATGAAACAACAACTGTGAACAAAGTACTTCGAAAATCGACTCATTTGACGTTACGACACACATTTGAGTATGTATTTACGTGTCTATTAATTCCAAATGTCGGCTCAAAAGATAAAATCCCTTGGTTTATAACCATAGCGCTTTAAATTGAAATATTGCTAGAGTTTGTAGGCATACCGCCGATAAAACTACTTCCATCTCATTGTCGTACGTATGCATTGAATTCCCGGAATCACAATGTGTATGGAATGCATAAAATAAAGCGCCATCTGTGCCATGATTCTTTTGTTCGTATAAGTCCAATGTATTCAATTTGAACACTCGGAAAACGTTCAAACGTTCAACATCATCATTCCACATAGCATTGCATAGTTCATTTTCCATAGACTTGGTGGCGCTTATATTGTGACAAACGTCAAAGCATAGGATTGTATACATTACATATTGTGATTCCGGAATTCCCTAGCAGAATCAATCCATGAAAAGGTTATCGTGTCGTAAAACAGTGATATTTAAGTATCGGTTTTATTAGCACATTAATTGGCTTTCGTGAAATACGTTCAAAAAGATATTTTACTTTGACTTATGAACGCATTGAACAATGCTCTGCAACCATTTACATTTCATATTTTGTGTGTAAGAGCGTAACGCTTTTCGCTGAAAATCCCATTAAAAGTGTAAACGTTTTTGTCAATTTAAATCTCGACGTGAGTATGACACTTTTCCTCAAGTGAAAATTGTTAATAAACTAAAGGTCTTATGTTCTAAGAATAAGTAGAAAAAAAATAAAATGAACATGCTCCCAGAAAATTATTTCTATGCCAAACGAACAGAATTATCTTGACCCCATAGATCATACCATGGTCCATATGCTTTGCTTTCATTCACATTTTGATATTCATTGTTTTGTTTGTCACTTTTCGGATTACCATTTTTCGTTGGTTGTCGGCCCGTTCTTCTTTCGCGACGATCTATACTTTTTGACTTCATGATAGCATCTGTGTCGCTGAAGCAACCATTTGAACGAGTCACTGGGGCGTTTTTTGTGAGTCTCGTTCGCGGCAATAACGTTCCCGGTCGGGATGTGTTAAGTTCTTCAAGTTCAATGTTTTGATCGCTTTCGCCACGGAATGTTTTGAATTCCATTTTTGCATTGTTTGCATGTTTGTTTTTGTTCTTTTGGTTTTCGCGACGAACTAAATGATCATCGACCACAATGCAATCGTATGGATCTGAGCTCGAGGCTGAGTTGCGTTCTGTGTCTGTACCGCTCGAATAATATTGCTTTAATATCTCTTGACGTTTGACTGTTTTCATGATAACATCGGTGACGCTGTCATCATCGAAAAATTGATTTTCAGCAGTGCTGCGACGCAACGAGTTTGTGTTTATGATTAACGGTGCTTCTTCAAAGTCTCGATTATAATCGTGCTTTCTCGACTGTTTCTTCAATGTGTCCATGTCACTTGTGTCATAGTATTCAATGGTCTTGATTACTTGTTGACTTGGTTTAACGTTTGTATTCTTGCTACTCGATTTTGGACGCGTTTGACGTTGATTTTGCGATTGCTGCTCTTTTTTCGATGGTTTTTTATTGTATTTGTCATTTCGGTCATTTTCTTCTTTTCTTTCTCTCCCCCTTTCCATTTCGTATTGATGTACAAGTTTGGCGCGCGAAACCATATTTGGTGGTGGTGAACGCGCTTGGACACGATCATTTCGAGCATAGATATTTTCTTCTTCATGTCGGTCATCGCGTTGCATTACACGCTCATCCATTTTATTTTTTGTTATCGGATAAATCAAGCTGCGATCATCGATGCTGGAAAAGTCATTGTGCATATCATTTTGCCCGTTTACCAATGTTTCCGAACTGTTTGTGCTGATTGTTTGATTTTCCAAGCTTCTGTGGCGCAAACGTTTCAATGTAGCTGCTTCGCGTTCGCGCTCAATTGTTTTCTCATGATCAGTCTGAACCAAATCCTTATGTTGCCACAGTGCCATACCCTCCAGAATTTCGTCGTCCGATTTACCAAATTTCCAGAATGATTTTGTACGTTTGACAAGGTGTCCATTTTGCTGGTCAATTGTGCGATAAAGTAAATCCATGCTTTGTTCATCGGTTAAATTTCCAAAACTCGTTGATTGACGGATATTGTGGCGTGATTGTGGCGATGAAGTTTTACTCTTCATCGATTTCATTGTGCTCGTTTGCGTTTCAGCACCGGCGCGACGTGGAATACGCGACTTTTTCAGAGTGCTACTCTCATGATTGGTTCTGATTTTTATGTGAGATTAATGGGAATTGAATGATGAACAACCGAAAAATAAACACAAAAAAAGAGAAAAGAGCACACAAAAATCAAGAAAAAAAATTAGGAAAACATAAAACAGAAAATAAATGTGGATTGAAATGGATTGGATTTAGTGACGGGTAATTATTAGTGAGGCGAGGCCATGGAATGGTAGCCACAGGTAGCCATTGTTTTATTTTATTGACTCATTGTGTTATATTGGGTGCTAAGGAGAACAAACAGCTCATTGAATTACCGTATTGGGACGCGATTGATGTTCTCCTCATCAGAGTAATCCACCTCAGGTTGTGCTGGCGGCTGATCATTGGCAAAGCCGCTATCGTTACTGCTGTGTAACGATGCGCTTGTCACACCGCTTCGTGGCTTCGGTTTCATTCCAGACGTCTATTTCAAAAAATGACAGAGATGTTATGCAACGTATTCATTTTGTCATTCCCTTTTCAATTGCATTCAAACTGTTTTACCTGTTTGCTGTAGTTAAGTGTGGACGGCATTGATTTGCGATTTTCGATGATTGGTGGGCCACCATTCGACGAAAAGCTATGCGATTGTGAAATTTGATTTTTCGATGACGTTCCATATGTAGGCACTGGAGCTGGGATCGTGGGCGGAGCGGGTTTGTTCATTCCATTCATTGCACCATTGCCGGATACACGGCGATATTGCTTCGATCGACGATACATAATCGTGTCGCCAAACATGCGAGTGGGTGAATGTTCGTCTTGATATGATGCCAATTTCGACGAAATTGCAGCTTCGTCTTCGTCTTCTTCGATCAAAGTACTGTCAAGCGATGAATCTGGCGTATGATCGCGAGGATGGTGTGCATTTTGATGGCCGCCCATTTGTTGCTGTTGCATTTGTCCATTCGAATGATGATGACCGTTCTGAGCTGAACTCCAGTGATTTTGATCTTCTAACTCGTTTTCCGTGTATGCGACTGGGAACCAACCAAATAATTGCGTTCGTAAATTCTCTCCGAATTGCCATCCCTTGGCCCGCTCACCCACCAAAGCGATACGATCGTTTTCGTGGAATGTCAACTGATTCTCACCAGATGCCAAATACGAATATAGAGCACGAACAATCAAGCGTGAATCGTTCTTCGGAGTTGCTGTTCAGCATGATAAAATATTCGAAATTTTGTGATTTCTTCTTATGTCAAAATGACCAAAAATAAAAAGCATATTTGAATAACTTACGTTCAATGGTAGCGGTTGTAGTCAAGTTGAATTCGGATTTGGCTCGTGGCATATTCATGGTTGAACTGTTGACAACATCGCCCAATGAGCGCATATCTAAGCATGATGCATCAATCGACTTCGTCTTCCGAATGGCCGAAATGATTGAGCCTCGGTCAGATTCATCATCAATGTATTGATCCTATGTCATGAATTTTATTGAAATTTAATAACATTCAAACCGAATTTATTGATTTTGATTGGTTTTCTGTGAAACTTGCCTTGATATTCTTGGCGAACATATTCTCAACGTTCGGTGGCAAAAATTCTCTTGAAGATGAAACTTCGTCCCAACTATCCAAATGACTCGAAAGGCAATTCCTTCCCGATGAATGATAAGCAACCCAGTGCTTGGCCAACGAGCATTGTCGCTCCAAAACGAAGCCATAGCGACGTCTTTCTTGCGTCATTGCCTAACAGAACAAAAGCAAATGTTGAAAAAGTTATTGATGACACTCATTTATATTACAACATCTTTTTAAGACGGACATAAAAGCAACGACACTGACGCTCCTCTTTGCCGTGCTGCAGAGGAAATATTGTGTTTCTTGCATCGGAAACTTGTTTCGATTTAACGCACAGCAGTATAAGATTACTGGATTTATGTAAATATAAGTGAGATTCGGAAATTCGAATAAAAACATTTTTCTGTATATACCATAAAATCTGTAGAAAAGGAGAGCTCCAGTGATGGGTCAGTGACATTGTGCATATTAACAAGTGCTTTACTCATAAACCCGGCTACAACACATTCCCAAAATGACTTCCTAATCATTTTATCAACTGCAGATAAAACCAATTTTAGGCTACTCATTTTTCGAGTTGCATGTAGACAATGGAGTTATGAAGTGGAAATGAAAAAAATCGATTGAAGCCAGATTTCAATTTATTATCATTAAGCAACTGACTTTCAAAAGGGTACTTGAAGCGGCTCGGTTGTTTAATAAGTTTGTGTTGTTAAAGGAGAAGGCGTATTCCAAGCCTTTCGTTTTGGTTCGGCTTTTCCAATGTAATAAAAATGCTAATTTATCTCAATTTTGAAGCTATTCACAGCTTCATCTGCTTATTATTTGGGAGCCTGCCAATTCAAAAAAAGAAGAATGCGAAAGTAACATATAAACATTTTTAAATTATCAAATTAACCGAACAGAAGACTTATTTGTTGAACAAAGTGCGGGCTTCGTTTCTGACCTGCTTTAGAAAATGAAGACGTTTGTTGTGCAGCACACGCATAACTGAACAAAAAACGGGTTATGATGTATGCCTTTTCCCCCCTGATTCTCAAGTGGATTGAAGAAAAATTTTCTGCCTCCCAATAAAAAAAAATTAAAGCACCTTCTTTGGTTCTGGTAACAACAATTTTTGAACCAAATAACTTCACACTGCAACACCGAATGTTGTCCACGGTTTTCGCTACATGTTATATTTATTAAGCAATTTACCGGTAGCAACTCGACTTGTAGCAAGGGCTTGCGACGAACAAATATATATGAAATATCTTTAAATATATTCAAATATGCCAAATATTTCAAATATTGAAGCATTATTTGTTTACAAAATGCATCTTGATATTTCGTATGATTGACATATTTGGCTATATTTCAAATATTTCATATATTTGAAAATTGAGAGAAATATTTCATATAGATATAGTCAAAATAATATCGGGTAATACCAAAAAACGTCAAAATGTGGCTTAAATATGCCTTAAATATATCAAATATTCCAAATATTTGAAATATGACGGAATATGACTGAAATATAGAAATATATGAAAATATTGCCGTATTTCAGGCGTCGCAAGCCCTTCGACGCATTCAGCATGCGAAAAATAAGGTTTAGATCCGTAACATAGCCATCTTGTGTCTTTGCCTAATTTCACCAATAAATTTCATACGTTCTATTGTACGAACAAAAAATTGTCCCAATTACTAAAAATGAATGACGAATAGTCATTGGTCGTTTGAAATGACTTAAAATCACAATGAAAACTGGAAATTTTTGAAGCAGAAAATAAATAAAAAAAGTCGGGAATATTTATTTTGGCTCAGACTCATTCAAATGTCTGCCACGATTCATATCCTCTGCGATAAAGTGTGTGTCTACACTTGCAGATGAATTTCACAAAATTCGAGTGCTACTAGTATTTATACGGATGCTCGTATCCCCTGGCTTAATCGCAGACAAACCATATCCGGAGAACGAAGAAAAAATATTGTGAAATAAATTAAATTTGACTGGAAAAATTGGCTATATTTTATTCAGTGCTGTAATAAAACGATGTGTATAACACTGGATGTGATGCGTAGACGGTGTACATGTTATATAAATTGAATCTCTTTCGCTGTTTTCCCCATTTTTTGTTGAAAAAATAATTTGATATAGCCACACATCTTTTTGCTCGTTGAAGACGACGACGACGACTTCTTCCCATTTCAAGTATAAACTGTTTTGTGTGCATCGTATCCAATGTGTTCTTGTTTTATTTTAAAGCGGCGACTATAAAAATGTGTTCCCATCATATTTCGATAGTCATATAGGTTTACACTCAATGGCGATAGAAAAAATGGGCTTGCCCGTGAAAATTTACGATGCTTTCAAAATGGTTGTTCGAAGGTGCATTTCATACGATTTTTTTCGACTCGAGCATGAGACGCAATCATTCATGGTATAACATAAGGTTTTTTAAGGAGCAAGTACTCTTCAATAGAAGACATTCAACTGGAAACAAAATACATGACGCGGAGATAAAAAAGACAAAAGAAAATATTGCTAAATAAGATTATTGAAAAATTTCTCTTGTTGCAAACAGTGGCAGTGTCGACGAAGCATGGATCGAGAGCATAAATGGACTTCTTTCATCTTCAAATCGCTAGTTGAACAAGCAGTTACTGCATACACATTCATTTGCTGAGAATATATGCGATGGAATATTAAAAAAAATAGACTTTCTGATGCATTATCACTGTCTCCACTATATCTTATCTCGCTGGTTCCTTTTTGTACGCAGTCCACATCTTCATATTTGGATAAATTGTGCATATAAAAACGGTAGCTGGTTGCGATTCTTCTTCTGTTTGAATAACAAGATATGTATGTGCACTGTGCACTGTACAGCAGAGCGTGTTATGAGCAGATTTCAGCTGCTGACGAGTATGCGTTGCGTTTTTTTATCGCATTTGCAGTGCAAAATTCATATTTCTTCAGTGAAAGGGAAATGTTGACATCAGCTCATAACACGGTCTGCTGTACAGTGTTGTGCAAGCAACGATTTGAGTATAAGAATAAACAGTAGTTTGGGCGCAACGAGACAACTTTTCACTTAATCATTTTAAAATTTTAATACGAAAATGACGTAGTTTGTGTGCGAGTAAATGTCGGCAACTTTCTGTGCAATGTAAATCGAATGAGAATGTCGGTGAGTGCTTTTGGCAATAAAGCCAGACCATATAACAACGGAAAAACATACATAAACAAAACGATGCAATGATACACTCATGAAGCTAACAAAGTTTTGACTAAAATAAAAAAAGGAAACACAATTCAAACGAAATGGAATCATACTCACATTTTTAAGACTTTGTTCGCAGAACACATCCAATTTGTTCTTCTCTTCATCCAATGTTTGAATCGACTGATAGTCCGGCGTACACACGAACAGCAGAAAAAGAATGGTTGGTGGATGGTTGAAATGAAGATGCAAATAGTTTGAATTATTATTTAAATAATTTAGATACTTTTTTAGCTTATAACAACATTGCAGTTCCAGACAACCAGTTGACAAGCATCGCACGAAGACTCGTTATACAAAGCTCAGCAACATCACAAGCGCATTTCCAATGAAAAACATAGACACAGAAAATACTTCTTGTGAGTGGAGCACAAACTCAAGTTTAATTCACTCTTTCTCTCCAGTAAATGCGTCAACTAAATATCGTGAACTGCTCGATGGAAAAAAAAGTTAGGTTCCATGCAAAAGTGACACAGTTGTGACTCGATGTCAGCCAACAGTTGCACAGTGCTCGTTCTCTAACGATGTAAAAATGTGTATTTACTTTGATCTCCTTATCTGTATTTTGGACGTTATTTTTCTTCTTTCGTTGCTTTTTCATCGTGGCCGCTGCCTTGCTGTAGCTGTCAGCTCGTATTTTATGTTGTTGCAGAAATTTCCTTTGCTCGAACTGGATGTGGTACATTGTTGTTGTTGGCGAAGTTGTCGGTGAAACAGATTTGCCGAAAAAAGACATGCAAACGCCACATACACACAGTGGATTGTGTTTTGCCAAACACAGAGAGAGACACCGAGACCAATGCAATATATAACCAGAAGCGGCAGCAGCAGTAGCAGCAACACAAGTGTTTGATGTTGTAATGGTTGGATGGTTTTGATTAAGCGATGTGGGGTCACATGAATAAGCGCATGCAGAGTACGCCAAGACGAAAAAGATTTGCAAAAACAAAGTTCCAGAGAATAATTCAATTAGTTTTCGGCCAAAGCAAGTGAACACCGGACGAGATTAAACACAATTGTTTAAAATTAATTTGGAGTAATTTGTTTGTCAGGATGTGATAATATAAAGAGCAAGTCAAATGAGAAAGAGGATTTTACCTGCACGACCTTCGTGTCTCGCTCCAAATTCGTTTCCAACGGCACGAGCAAATCCACGTAGAAAGCTTTCAACTGCAAATATCACAAGCGAACATCACGGTTATTCATTCATGAACATTTTTGTTTTTCCTTTTTTTCTCATTTTTTGTAAATTTATAATACTCACTATATTCATGTGCTGATCTTGGATCTCCTTATATACACCGACGATGCTCATGAGTGCCGAACCTGTGCAGTAACAAAAAGCGAAAATGAAACAACTTTTGGTGAAAACTTCATCACGGTATGAAAACATTATTTCAGATTGGAATAAATTTTCTTTCAATGTTTTTACGTAAATATTTGGTCAAAATGTGTAATTGAATGCACTGCACATTAGGGTGTTTTCGGCATCATTTAATCAAAAAATGGAATGCCTCATTCGATAGATCTCAGAATTCTGAGTCGATTGATAACATTTTTGTCGCGGATGGACTTGTGATGACACTTCCCGATGCTGAAAACAAAAACAGTTTTATTCTGAATTTGCATAGTAACCTGTGACAACCAGATTTGATTTGAAATTTGGGAGCAGAAATTTGACAAGAAAACATTAAATTGAATCTAGTTGTCACACGTTACTATAGAAATTCAGAATAAAACTGTTTTTGTTTTTAGTTTCGGGAAGTTTCACCACAGGTCTATCCGCGACAAAAATGTTATCAATCAACTCAGAATTCTGAGATCTATCGAATGAGACTTACCATTTTTCGATTGAACGATGCCGAAAACACCCTACTGCACATTGATAATAATGAAATCGAAATGGATGAATTTACGTTCGGTCGGCGAATGTAAATAAACAACAGCATTATTTTAAGTTATGCTGATGGCATTTCGAATACGACAAGACCAGTAGCAATTATCCAAAAACCGCGTCGAAATATCGTGCACACGTGCCTTGACGCAGATTAAAATGTTTCGGAACAATTTTCAATTATCATTTAATCATTTAATTTGACGTGCCATTTTAATGGAACGCAAATGGCAAGCCGATTTCGAAATTGGACACACGCATCTTTTTGGGCAAGGACAGAACAACGATTGCGATTGCATAATTTAAATGCAATTACATTGACAATCAATCGAATTTGAATAAATGTTGGCTATTGCTATGAAAAAAAATTCGGAAAGTATGTGTTTGGTGCGTTCGCTTTTGACCGCATTGCATATGTTTTCTTCCGTCGTTTTTTCGGTGCTGTTGATTCAACTATTTGCAATCGATATCGTTCCAAAGAGGGACAAACTCCAATCCAATCCAATCCAATGCATATACAGTGAAAGCGACGCGAGCAAAATAAAACAGCAGCAACAGTGCCATATAGATCAGTTTAATTTATTGTTGGATTTACATCGGGGACCAAAATGCCGAACTGACTGCAACGAGTTAATAATGAATCACGAAATGGCCCCGAAAATGCAGATTGGTTTTACATTTTGTATATTTGACCCGACGCCTTTTGATCTCATAAATCCATGTTCGATAGTGAACAAACATTCTGCACGTCATGTTTCAACCATCCCACTTCAGCGTACGCCGTACATATTACAAAAAAACACTAAATAAATTTTATCGTAAACCCAAACTAACTCTAAACATGAAAAAAAACGTGAACTATTACGTATACTATTTAGTCAAGGAGTAAAAAAATATTAATGCGAAGTACAAACATAAACTTGATATGAATTTTGCACCAAAAATCGGATATTAAAATGGTTGCGGTAGTTGCTCTGTTCAGTTTGCGGTAAAATTTGTTTAGAATAAATGCATGCTGGAAGCTAATTTATACCGGTTTTCATCAGATGCAAATTTCTATTTGCGAGAAAACTGGACGAGAGCGCTACAATCAGAACGCCATTTTCAACAAGTTGCCATGTATTCATTGAATCTCTATCAAACCAAAAACGTCAATGTCGACCATGTTTGCACAATAAAATCGCAAATACATGTGTAGAATCGGAGTTGGAAAGTTGCTGAATGCATTCATTAAATGCAATGAAAAAAAACTAGTACACTACTCGCGGGGGTATCATTACACTAACAATAACATATTTGCAAAATGAAATTCGTTCAAAACCTCCTGACACGGAGTGAACACGCTCACTTTACAAACGCACTTGTTCACCTTGCCGGTTTGACAGCTAATGTCAAATCGACTTCTGTTTCAGTGTAGTTTTCTGTTCGAACGCAAGCGTTTTCTCAGTAAGGTCCGCAAAATTAAAAAAACAATTCTGCCACGAACCAGTTTCTATTTTGAATCTAACATTTTTTTTATTATGTGAACTCCAATATAGCTGCACAGTTAATAATATATTATTAATTATACTATCGGTATTAACATCGCATGTTAATAATATATTAGTATGATAATACCGGTATTAACTGGTATTAACTAGTAAGTAATAGCGATATCAACAGGAGATGTTAATAACGTATCAGTTGTTAATACGGATGGTATGATCATACTATATTATTATGATTTTCATGATAATATTTTATTAACATCCATGTTAATAATTATTAACATTTCGTGTAAATAAATGTACATTTACACTGAACTTGTGTTCTGGAAGTGGGTTTTGGTGGATCTCAAGGATCGTTCAGAACTGCTCCCGATTCTAGAAGTGGGTTTTGGTGGACCCACAGGATGGACCAGATCCGATTTGGCAATGCCCTGGCCCATCCTGAAGATCCACTTCCAGAACCGGGAGCAGTTTAATTATTAACATGGATGTTAATAAAATATTATCATGAAAATCATAATAATATAGTATGATCATACTATCGGTATTAACATCGCATGTTAATAATATATTAGTATGATAATACCGGTATTAACTGGTATTAACTAGTAAGTAATAGCGATATTAACAGGCGATGTTAATATCGTATCAGTTGTTAACCCTTTGACGACCTTTGGGACACATATGTCCCATTTTGTTTTTCGTCAATAATTTCCACATTTTTAGACCGATTTCGATAAAATTGGTTTCTTTTGAAAGAGAATGAATGTAGCTACCAGAAAGTACCATAATATTGGATATTTTACATCACTGTGCTCAAATAGAACACTTCAAAGTCGAAAAATCTTAACTTTTTTTTCAAATTCCACCAAACCCTATATAATTTGAAGGGTACAACTTTTAAAGCTGAAAATTGGAAATGTTGTACGGAGTGTCTGTTACTTTCCAAGGATAATCGCCTTTTCTACAAAAAAATTTGTTTCAAATTTTTATTGCTTTTGGCGTGATGGGACATATGTGTCTCATTGGTCGGTAAAGGTAAATAATTACCACTGATTTCCCTGTATTTCAACCACTTTTCGCGAATTTTGAAACACACAAATTTACAAAAAGATCGTTAAATTCGTGATTAAATGGGCACAACAAAGCATGATTCAAACCATTTTTGGTTTAAAAAGATTCTATAAATTTTAAAAATGGAAAAGATTTTACACGTCGTTCTTATGGGAGACATGTTTTTTTCATAGAAAAATAAAGGTAAATAGTTACCTTTACCGACCAATGGGACACATATGTCCCATCATTTTTTTCATATTTGCAATTGAAAAAATTAATTTTTGATAACACTTTTGTTAATATTTTTGGGGTCGCTGAGCACGAATCTGCAATCAGAATTGCAAAATTCCCAGCCGTTCAGTTTTGGTCGTCAAAGGGTTAATACCGCCTAGTTAATAATATAGTATTAATAATTATTAATAATATATTATTAACTGTGCAGCTATAAACTCCAATATATCATATAAAACCGTAATTTTCTCTCATACAACTCAATTGAAAATGAAAGAAATTTTTTTTTTAAATACGGGCTTAACCTACCGAAAGAAAGCAATTTTTTTGTCTTGTGTACCAGCGGCATATTTGCACAATTTTATTTGGCAGAGTCGAAACATTTTTATTTATTTATTAAAATTCAAATATTATTATTATTTCACCACACAACACAATGTCGACTATGTTTGAAACTGCATTGAATACACCCATCAATGTAGTTCCAAACGTTGCCGTCAAAATGTGTGACGTTGTTGGCTTGACGTTTAATGATCGAGACTATCGCGGTGATACTACTATAGTATAACTCACCGATATCAGTTGTTCCACCTTGTTGAGCATTCATGGCTATTTTTGCCAGCGCCTCGTTGAATACGCGTGATGCAGCAGCAGCGCCTGTGAAAGAGTTAGTTTAAATTTTATTTGTGGCATTGAAATCGAATGATACAATTTCAAAAAAAGAGGAAATGAATATTTGAAATCACTTGTGCGATGAACGGTAGCGAAAATCGCTGTAGAAGGTCGACCCTTGAATTCGATAAAAACGAAAATCAAATACATTTGGTTTTTTTTTTCAAACTAACAATATTTTCAAAGTTAAACGAGGAAAGTTTTCGTTTGCCGTTAAAAGTCATTCAAATTTGAGAGTAAAAAAAATCAGCAATAGTCTAACGAACTGCCTCAGTCAGATACTTAAAATTAGTTCAATGAAACAAAAAAAAAAGGAATTGCAAACGGAAGGATTTTCAGAGATCTAATCTTTTCCAGGGACAAACTACTCGAACCGGTCGTTTACCAAATCGAATGCAGAATGCAAAATGACAAGAGCGTTTTAATTGAAAATATAAAGTGAAGTAAAGTAAACTTACCATGTAGTGCTTTGAGATACGCTTTGCCGGCACTAATTAGTTGTCGAGCGCCTGGATTGAACTTTTCCAAAATGTTCTGAAATTGAATCAGGATGAACAAAGAAGACGCATTTAATTAAAAACATCAACAATAATACGAATGAGAAAAATAAATTGACACGATAAAATGAACTCGAATTAAAAGACAGGAATTCGAAATCGGACACCAAAACAACGAAATTAGAAGTAGCTTGAGAACAGCTCTAGAGCTGTTTGTGTGGCTGTTGCGAAAGCGAACGAGAATTCACGCGCGTGGGTGAATGCTCAAGCTCATCCGTAGATAACTGAATGTGCCGACAGGATGAGAGACGTTGAAGTAAACAATTGAATACGCGTTTAATTGAATTTTTCCCCAAACATAAACTGAACTAATGAAGAGCTGTGTTCAGCACCACTTCTAGTTTCGCACCAGCGATGGATTTGAAAAGAAAATGTAATGGAAATGTACACCGAGACAGTGAAGTGGATGATAATGAAACGGCGAACTTAGCATTTATTTGGCCGTTGGTAAACAACAACTTCGAGCCACGAAAATCGAGACTTAAACGATACAATTGAATCCAGTGCTAAATGAGAGATTTTCTTCGATGTTTTTTTTTGCTATCGAACCCATCTTGAATGAGAGCCGATGTGTGTAATTGTGTAATGGCTCAACCAAACTTAAAACTGTCTGACAATATTGCCACGAAAATAGAGAGTAGATTGAATTGAAATGCATTCGTAAATATTTCCTTTGTATTTGAAGCCCATCTCTCTCTCTCTCTCTCTCGTCGTGTTTCCGCTAGCAAGCGTGTCTGCCATTCGGCAAAATAAATATTTGTTCTTTTCCTGCGATTGCAAAATTGCGATCGTAACTTAATTTTCACCAGCACACACAATGCTAGCTCGTGCTGCTTTGTGTCTCGATCCTTTTTTTGTGCCGGGATAAAACACAATGCATTGCCATTGTTCTCGACACGATACAATGCAGCCGCCAAATCAAGGAAATTGCTGATTTAAAGGCAATAGCACAATTTTCAGTGGTGGTGCGAGCATTCGTTTTTTTCCTCAGTCTATTGGCATTGTTTTCATAATGTTTCCAACCAACGGCACTTTTACTCAGTCAATTTTCCGACTCAATTGTTCTAGAACGCATTGTCTCCAACCATTAAATCGCCTGATAGCTTTTGCAACTCGTTTGATTTAATAAAGAGTTTAGCGTTGCATCCCAAATTGTGCTTCAGGTACGCTCTATTCAAATGGATCGAAGTAAATTATTCACAAGAAGTGTCTGTGGGGTCGAACCTTATGGCGAACAAACCATTTTGTATTCGATAATGTAATTAAATTCACAGTCACATTGGAAAAAATATATTCGAAAATAAAAAATAATTCCAAAATTCCAAACGATAATTGATCTAATGAAAGCAGGCAAAGTCCAGAAATAAGTGGTTTAAATAGTCACATATTATAATAATTACAATAATTTAACAATGGAGTGACAAAATGTCGATGACAAACCTGTGTCCAATGCTAATGAGATGCAAACAGCAGTAGTTTTGCTGTTAATGAGCAAAAAGTGCCAAACAAGCAAATCATTCGTTTGAACGCTAACGAAAATGGAGTTAATCTTTTGACAAACTTTAAATGAACGACTGAACAACTTTGACACAGTTGAAAAAATACGCATCGTTTGAGAGGTATTTCACGCGCCAAATGTATCGTTTCAATTCGCTCATTCTACCAATAATTGCGTTTCATTTGTGGGCAAAGCCTTGAAAATGCTAAGAAAAATTAAATGACGATGGCAAAAAAGTGCAGAAATTGCAATTTTCAAACATATTTTGCCGTGTAATTCCATGTCGCATTTTTCTTTGTCATAATTTCATATTTTTGCCATTTTGCTTTCGATTCATTTCTCAAAGTAACGGTTTTATCCAGTTACGCGGCAAATTATTTCTCATTTCTTTTTCTTTCGCTTTCTTCACATCTTTCTTCGTCGCATGCAACGAAGGAACGGAATGAGAGAGAGCAAAATTACGCTGAAAACAAATGCTGCGTTGAAAAAATGATGTTTGATTTTGAGTGCGACATCAAACCGCATTTATGCAGGAAATTTGCTTGGTTTATTTGTTTGTCGTCGTAACATAGAAATAAGGAAATGACAAATTAAACGTCTTTTGCGTCTGATATGGCGAAAGCGAATTCGGGGGGCTTTTTCGATTGCCGGAACGCCTGATGATGATTTGATTATGTAATTTTTCTTCATCTGTGCTGCGTATCGATCATGCTTGTCGGTTGTGTTTTCCGCAATTGTTTGATTGCGATGCACAAATTGGTTATTTGATTAGCACCCAATCGAAGACTAATAAGAGGGAAGCCTCCGGCATATTTGAATATAATCAAATGATTGCCATTCTATTCCGATGACAAGCAATTTTGCTATTATAAAATAATTGAAGGCTATGATTACTATAGCAATCAATGTGTTTCGCCTCTTCTTTTGCGTCGCTTAATGAGTCATGACATTTCGATACATACAGATATATAGTAAACCGGTTGAAAGGAGCAACGAAAAATACAACATCTGGTGACGTAGCATAAAAAAAGGGATTGAAATGAAACAAGACAAATGACCTAATGTAATGCACTCGTAAAGCAAATAAGCAAAAACAAATTACAAATAACTTGGATGCATTCTCATGGCTTGCAAATGTATCCAAAATATACTCAGCGAGAAGGCACGAAGCACTTGAATTGGAAGTACGCAAAACAGACGGGACAAGAACTCAACGTCAAAAAGAACATGACGATACTTTTGGGGCTTCGTTCATTTTACTTTTTTTTGTTCAGTGTACGGTGACTGACATGTTTCTGCACTGTTTTGCATTTTATGTCTTTTAAACTTTATTTGCTGTAATGTCAAACTGCTGAACCGCAAACTAAGGTGAGCATAAAACACCAAATGGTTTCAATATATATCACACACACATTCTCTTGCTAGGTACGCCATGTATAGTCGTTTGCATGTTTTATAAATCATATGTATATGTATGTGTATGTTAATTCCAAACACACATTCCACTCTAATTGTGAAGAACATCCACATCAAAGGGGAAAAAAGCTTGAAGAAAATTTTATTATTCATAGAGAAAGAAACCGAAATAAACTTTTGTAAAACATTGACCTGAAGCTCTAGCAAAACAACCTGCCATCATAAGAACTTGTTTTGGAATTCCATTTCATGTAAATACACCGAAGAGTTGTCAATATTTTCATAAGCTCTCTTTCACTTCGATTCGCTTCGAATGGTCAATTTATCAGTTTGAAAAACGAAAATATTAGTTGGAAAACAGCATGAATTATTCAATCGTATAGAATAAGCGACTGTGTTTTTTTTTGCTGGACTCTACTTTTTTCTCTTTCTCTCTTACCTCTGTGGAATGGAATTCCATCGGCCATAAAGCCATCCATTCAGTTGAAAAAATACCGTCACATTTAAACCTTACGCAATGCTTTAAAATGGATTATGATTTTGTGAAGAAAAAAAATGAATAATCTTGTGTGATACATTTTGTGCAGACGAAAAATCATGGGGAAACAATGTCTCGCCTTGTTTGATGAATAATAAAATTAGGTGTAGTCTAATACTTGTTGTTGAATTTACATCGAAACCATCGAGTTGTGGATATTTAATGTTGCAAAAAATGACCGAAGGTGCAAGAGCATAGATGATGCTATTGCCATGTTTGTCTATCGATAAATCCATATTTACGATATGCAAGTCAGATGTTAAATGGTTTTGTGCGTTTTATTGATAATAATTTGCTTCCGTCCATCAAAATCAATAAATTTTTCTCAATCACTTTCTGATTTATCATTGATTCAGTATAAATCGGGGTGATGAACCTTTTCACTTTACACACACCTTCAACACTAAAAAATATCGCCTTTTCTTTTTATTCTTCTCTTTTTTTTCCATTTCTACATCTCTAAATAGGAATTTCAATGTTGTTTTTAATAACGGAACACACTCTAATCAAATCAAATTCAAGCTCGATAGCTACATCGATTACTTTCTTTTAATGCAACTAATGAGGCAAAGTACCTAAAGTGGCCCAAGTGTTGTTGTTGTATTCATATCATGTAATTGATAAATGCAAATGTTTTTGCTGAAGTGGTCATTGAGTATTGCAACAACTATTAATGTAATTAGAATTAATGCTTTAAATACATCCTCTTAGTGTGGATGATCCGGCGGTGAAGCGGTCCATTCACCCGTTGCGAAAATTGTTTATTGTGTTCTATTCACAAGCGATGCTATTAGTACTATAAATTCAATACAAAGTAATGGATTGCGTATTTTATCTCGCACACAGCACACATTTCCATTCCAATCCGTAAATATCGTTGTGAAAAAAGCCCATCGAATTAATGAACTGGCTAGCGGCTATCGAAGCGAAATGGAAATGAATGCCGAGCATTGCATCGAAATCGACCGAGCATCAAAATTGATGTGCGTATTGGTTTGCGCGAGTGTGTGTATTTGCATTTGGGGCAATTAAAATGGTCATTGAATCGGGGGAGGCACTGAATGAGCGAAAGTCAATGGGCGCTGGAATTTTTGCGGGCTTCTAATACTGTGCGGTATGGCTTGCAGTGATCCGGTTGTTGGGAAAAAGGCACATGCACAGCGTGCACTGGTGTGTAGGAAACATATGTAAAACGCAAACACAATTTAGTTCATTTTTATCGATATGCTTGAATGGTATTTTCGTACAGTCGCCCTGACTGAATTTCATCTTCGACATAAAGTGCCATTCTCACTCGCGCTCTCAATGTCCCGGCTCGCTCGTTCACTTGCTCTCCTTCTCCTCCCACAGTCGCTTCGGTCGTAGTGTTAATGCACGAAACTTCACTGCAATTGAACATTTACTACGGATCGATATACCGTCAGTGATCTAATGGATCCAATGAAAATGAATGAAACACACTCACGCAAAATGATTGAGAATATTTAATGGAGGCTCCCATTTGAAATTTGCCATGGAATCGTAT